AGCAACAGGTTCGGGTGTATTTAGACGTCTCAAACAGGCAGAGAAACGGGGAACGGAGGGATCGTTACTTCCAACAATGAAAAAAATAACACTCGATTCGCTTTTTCTTAAGAGCATGAATATGCGGTATTCGTGCTCTTAAGAAAAAGCGAATCGAGTGTTTTTTTGCCATAAGTATCGTGAAAATAATCACTAAGGCAGCCAATAAAACAAAGCTCTTTTGATGTTTGGTTATTATTAATAGTTTGACCTGGTTGCCAGAAGAAAGTTCAGCTATGGAGATTTTTTTTCCGAGACAAGTAATTTGTTCTGAACCAGAAATGTTTTCGCTTCCATGCCATAGCTATAAAATGAGAAAAGGTCTGTTTCTGTGTCCAGCTGACCTGAAGCCGTGTGTTATTCGTGTGAGTCAGGATTTGACGTCTAAATAGGTGATTGTTGATTGTTTTAAAATTTTTGTAATAATATATATTGGTTGTCTGTAAAAAAAAATAAGGGCAAGGCGCCGAGACAGGCATTTATCCTGAACTCAGAGTCACAAAATAAGTGTTTTCATGATTTTTGGCTTGTTGTCTCCCATCTAAGTTTTACCTTTTCACATTTTGCATTTGTGTACACCGAACACATTTGGCAGAAATTTCATCTTAAACACGTAGCAAACGCCTCCATTTGAGAGAGAAACCTCCGCAAAACTTTGATGGACGAAATGTGACGTCCTGAACGTATGCACGTGTATGAGAAAAAAATTAAAAAATCTTTCGAATTGGTTTGAGAGCGCACTCTTAGAGAGAGAGAGGGAGTGTGTGTGTGTGTGTGTGTGTGTGTGTGTGTGTGTGGGGGGTGCAGGCGTGTGTGTGTGAGAGAGAGTGTGTGTGTGTGAGAGAGAGAGAGAGAGAGAAAAAGAGAGAGAGGGAGTGTGTGTGTGTGTGTGTGTGTGTGTGTGTGTGTGTGTGTGTGTGGGGGTGCGAGCGTGTGTGTGTGAGAGAGAGAGTGTGTGTGTGAGAGAGACAGAGAGAGAGAAAGAGAGAGAGGGAGTGTGTGTGTGTGTGTGTGAGAGAGAGAGGAGCACAGAGAGATCCATCAAAGAACTATTCGCTGTGTGGTCTCTCAGGCGCTAATGGAGAATGGAAGTCCCCGGTTTCACGCTTGAGTGGAGAGGTTATAGCGCTGGGCGCGACCCCGGCACGGCTGAAGGGGCCTCCGACCGGCCGTTGCCGGGAGAGGAGAGAGGACCGGCCAGCTCTTTAACGCGCCAGCGAGATCAGACTCACGCTGGCCGTCCTCCTGGATGGACCTGTAAAAGCGGATAATTGGCAGCACTAATTCGCACATTAGAGGAAGCGTTCGGGAGAGATGATAACTCCAGCATCACAGACAGTTCCATTACGACGCTCCCGTTCATTAAACTGTAATCGCATCCGCGAACGCCGTGTTCGTGTGCAGATAATAATTCTCCATTGCCAACAAATATTTGTCACGTTTGATTACCGTTTCTTCTCTTAGGGTGTAGTATGGGGCACACGATACCCCTTTGAAAAGCACGTGTGGAGTGCTCTGATACCACTATCACACCCCGCTGTCTGTAAACATTTCACACATAAATCTTAATCCACTAACTGAGCTGCGTTACTGCGTTTTTTTTTATTGTCCGGGTTTGATTACTGCGGTTGAGGCAGTAGACTGCACTGCTCTCTGAACGGGATCAGCGTCTGTTGTTTTCCTGGACTGAAGACACAGCTCTTCCGCTCTCACCTGAGCACCTGAAACACTTCCCCCCTAAAGGAACCTCTCATACCTCAAACTGTCTCCTACTAAACCATTAAAAAAAAAAGTAATATAATGGTTCAATACACTCGTTAGCTTTACCTGTGTCACACCCGCTCCCAGTCAGCCAGCTCAGCCACGCCCCGCTCAGCCTGGCTCAGCCACACCTGTGGTTCATTCCCTCAATCAAGTCATGCCTTTATAAGGACTCAGTTTCGTTACCTCATTGTGAGGTATTGATTCGCTGATTCTTTACTGAGCCTGCTCTTTGCCATTCCATTCGTGTTGTTCCTGTGTTTTTGACCTCTCGCCTGTTTTTGGACCTTGCTCGTGTGTTTTTTGGATTCTGGTTTTTGAGTGCTTCTGATTCCTGTTGACGACCTGTTTTGTCCCTGACCACTCTTTTTGGATTCTGGCATTAAAACCTGTTAACCGCATCTGGATCCCATCTGGTTTCATTACAACCTGCTTGTTTGCACCTTGCCTGGAAAAAACCATTGAAACCTGGTCATGCAGTGCTTTTAATATTGCTGACTCTGGATGGTTTTTTGCTTGTGGTGTATTGTACCTCACCTGTAAGTCGCTTTGGATAAAAGCGTTTGCCAAATGAATAAATGTAAATGTAACTTAATGTAAATGGACTGTGGTTTTGCTCTTGGGTGACCTTTCACCCCTGCGATGACCTTTCACCTTTTCCCAGTGGCTCTCTCTCTCTTCCTGAGAGGTCAGGGTTACTGTGGGTGTGCATGCTATGAGCACATACGCTCTGAACGTGGTCACTTACATTACGTTACATTATTGTCATTCAGCAGACGCTCTTACCCAGAGCAACTTACACAGTTTTTGTCCATTTACACAGCTGGATATTTTTACTGAGGCAATTCTGGGTTAAGTACCTTGCCCATGGGGTGCAGCAGCAGTGCCCCAGCGGGGAATGGAACCAGCAAGCTTTCGGTTACGAGCCCTGCTTCTTAGCACTATGCTACGTTGCTGCCCACTATGAACACAAATCCTGTAAATGCGGTCTCTTCGGAAGCACAAGTTATGAATGTATACACTATGAACACACATGCTATGAATGCACATGTTATGAATGTGCACGTTTTGCACGTGCACGGTGTGCATGTGCACGGTTTGCATGTGCACAGTGCAGAGGTGCACTCTGTGTATGTGCACGTTGTAGTCGTGTACACTGTGCCTGCAAAGAGGAGGTAGCAGGGTGCTCTGCTGTCCGCAGGGAGGGAGAGCAAACAGACCTCCTACGGTACACAAACTCTGCGCTCCGTTTCCGGCCTCATCCGCAGCAGAGACTGACGTCCCGCCCGCGCCGGGCGAAAAGCCTGGCGTCCGCCTCTGTTAACCTCCCCCTCCCCTCGGTCCCCCGTCCCCCCGTCCCCATGGGACTCCCTCTGAGGGGCTGGATGTGATTCGTCACAGCGCTTGTTTTTCCCTGTCCTCCACAGCCCCGCCCGCTGGCCTCGCGCGACTCCTTATTTGGCGTGCCACGCTCAGAGGGCTTCCGTGACGCAGCCCAGCTGGTCTCTTGACAAGGTTACCCCTCCCCAAATTCAATCTGCCCCCCCCCCCCCGGACCCCCACCACCCCAACCCTGCCGCTGAGGTATCTCAATCGGTCAATGGATAGATGGTAATTTAATATATTATATTAAAGCCCTCCCCCTGGGGATTGGAGGGCTGAGCACAGCCTCACTGGCAGCCGGGGGGGGGGGGCGGATCGGGGGCGATGCCATAGTGCTGGCCGCGAGGTCCGCAGCTAAAAGAGTGGTCCCTGAGAGCCACTCTCTGGGTGCCGGCACCCAGCGCAGCCCTTCCGCCAGACGAGAGCAGAGATGCGCTCACAAAGGAGACACCTGGCTCTGTGGGCCTCCAGGGGCGGAGAAACCCACCCCGGGCGACCCCGAGTCCCGAGTCCCTAGTCCCTGACGGCCCCTTCAAAGACACCCTCGCAGCCTGGCAGGAGGCAGGAGAGTCCCGGGTTCGATTCCCTGGAGGGGTTTTTAGAGTCTTAATTAGCCTCTGCCGTCCACGAGGAGCGTGTGCGGTTGGGTGAGCAGAATCAGGCCCTCTCGTGCATCGTTTCGCTTTCCCACGGTGCCTCGGGATGTGCTAAGCATTGGTCGCTGACGCAGAGCGCTAACGGCGCCGGGAAGGAGCCCGGAGCAAAACGCCGAGACGACAAGAAGAAGTCATTGTGTGGGAGGCTTTGGGTAGCGGAAACTCAGCCGGGAGCAGGCAGCGCTGCAGCTGCTCCCAGAATGCCTTGTGTTGCCCCCCCCCCCACCTTGAGGAGCCCGCAGCAGATGCGGTGACGTTTATGGCCTGTGATTAACGAGGTCCCTGGGGCTGGGATCGATGCAGGCTGTCCGTGACACCTTGTAAATCAGGGCCTTCACTGTGCCGCTGGCCAAATGACCCCCACCCCCAAAAAGCCTGGCGCCACTGTGTTTGGAAGCCAGTACGCCCTGCTGTGCAAAGGCTGCAGGTTGGTCTCCCATCAGCTAAGTGGCTGCTCGGGCAGGAAACCTGCTGTGAAAACGAAGTTCATTATTATTATTACATTACATTACATTTATCTGGCAGACGCTCTTAGACGACTTCCAGCAAAACAGAAGAGAAGTGTATCCGTTCAAGGTAAATGAGCAACAGTGCCAGGCCAGGCTATCAACACTCCCAGACCAGCGGGTGTGCGATTAGCACAATTCAAGCCCTGCCGCAGGTTAACTTGTGCTAACCTGAAACTAGACAGCCTAGAAACTAAGGCGGGCCAAGTACAAACAATACCGTACATCACAGTCACTAGATCACAATCCAAAAACACAAACCACCATACTACAATTCATCAGTCCAATAGCCCATGTAGGTGTTGGTTTTGTAGACGTTAAACTGAGGACTTGGCTTGCTGCGATCAATACATATCCCGTGGAATGTATCGAAAGTGTTGGGGTGTTAGCCCTGGTCCCGAAGTAGGTGAGTAGCTGTTTCAGTCTGGACACCTACTCACCCACTCTGGGACTGATCGGCTGTGAAATTCCTTGCCTTCCCCCTCTCCTTGATTCCCCCGGTCGTCACTGCAAAAGAGCAGGTAGTTCTCAGTTAAACTTCCTGATAATACAGATAAATAAAATGTGCCGATATCCCTGTGTACACATCCTGGAGATCAGTGCCTGAATGAATGCCTTAAGTAGTATTCATTATTAGTTCATTTACCTAACCTACGGCAGCGTAGCGTAGTGGTAAAGGGCAGGGCTCTTAACCGAAAGCTTGCTGGTTCGATTCCCCGCTGGAGCACTGCTGCTGTACCCTTGGGCAAAGTACTTAACCTGGAATTGCCTCAGTAAGTATCCAGCTGTATACAGGGATAGAATGTAAAAACTGTGACCCATGTATGTGGCTCTGGGTAAGAGCATCTGCTAAATGCCAGTAATGTGATGTAATGCACTATAATCATCCTTCCCTCAGTGAACTCCTTGCTAATTGAAACAGCTGTTAAGGAGCTGAACTTGTACCCTGAAGCTTGCGGGGTGGGGTATCTGCTCTTGTACCCTCGAGCAAGACGCTTGGCAAATAATTAAGCAAGTATATTCTCATCCATCCCGGGTTCAAACCGGCACAACCCCCCACCCAGAATCTGTGTGTTTGTGTGTATACATGATTGGGTGTATTTTTTAAATCCAAACATGCATGTTGACCTTTCCCGACTGAACTAACTCTTGGATGTGTCTTTTGTGCGTATGTGTGTGTGTGTGTGTGTGTGTGTGTGTGTGTGTGAGAGAGAGAGAGAGAAAGTGTGTGTGTCTGTGTGTGTGCAACCTAGAGAGAGAGAAAAAAAGAGACGGGAAGAAAAGATGTACTCACAATACCGTGTGGAGAGCATCAGAGGGGTAATTTGTGATGGTGGTGGGGGGTTTGGGGGATGCTGGCGTTTGGGATGGATGGGGGCCGAAATGAGTGGGAGGGAAGGGTATCGCTGATGGATTGTGGCAGGTTAATTCTGCAGCTCAATCAGAGAGGGCTCGTCCCGTCGCGGGCTCATTTACCTCATCAGTCCTGTCGCTCTTCCTGAGCTGAGTCCGTTGCACACACACCCAGAGCTGCTCATCGCTCCTCTTCACAGCCGAGCTGATTGCTCGAGTGCCGCGGCAGCCCCTTCTCACCCCCGAGGCCCTCATCTCTCTCTCTCTTCTCCCCCTTTCCCTCTCTCTTTCCCTCTCTCTCTCTCTATCTCTCTCTTTCCCTCTCTCTCTCTCTCTCTCTCCCTCTCTCTCTCTCTATCTCTCTCTCTCTTCCCCCTCTCTCTTTCCCTCTCTCTCTCTCCCCCATCTCTCTCTCTCTCTCTTCCCTCCCTCTCTCTTTCCCTCTCTCTCTCTCTCTCTCTCTCTCCCTCTCTCTTTTATCTCTCACTCTCCTTACCTCTGTCTCTCTCTTTTATCTCTCTGTATCTTTCCCTCTCTCTCTCTCTTTATCTCTGTCTCTCTCCCTCTCTTATGCTTCTGGCACTCTCATCTGTTTCTCTCTCTTCCTCTCTTTCTCTCATCTCTCTCTCTCCATCTCTCTTTCTCTCTCAACTCAGACTCCCATCTCTCTCTCTCCCTCTATATGCCCCCTCTCTCTCCCTCTCTCTCTGTCTATCACCTCTAAGCCTCTCTCTCTTCTCCCCCTGTCCCTATAACCCCCCACCTTTAATTTTCCCATCATTCTCATTAATCTCCCTCCTTCCTTCCTCTTTTCTTCTCCGCCCATATCTTCCTCTCCCTCTCTCTCAGTCCGCTTGTTACGTCTACGTTGCAATTCCTCAGAACGGGCTGACGGGGGGATTGGGGGGAGACGGGGGGGACAGGGGGGCATGTTGGGGGTTCCCCAAGGTGGAGCAGTCTGCCAGCTGCTGGGCGCTCCCCTGTGGAAGCCGTGGGAACGGGGGACAGGTGAACGCCACCGCTTTGCTTCAGTGACATGTCACCAAGCGCACCTCGAGCAGGACGTCCCCGAGACGCCGCTTCCCCGCCCCCTCACAAAAACACCCCCGCCCTGGGTGTGACTCACCACGGCACAGACTCTGCGGGACCAAAACCGCAGGAGGCACGGACCGAGGCGATGCTACAGAGACTGAAACTGAAGCTGACAGTGTTCCGAGTGACACCCAGGCTAAAGCAGACGATACTAAGAGTACAGGGATACAGCGAGACCCAGGCTAAAGCAGACGATACTCAGAGTACAGGGATATGGCAAGACCAGGCTAAAGCAGACGATACTCAGAGTACAGGGATATGGCAAGACCAGGCTAAAGCAGACGATACTCAGAGTACAGGGATACGGCAAGACCAGGCTAAAGCAGACGATACTAAGAGTACAGGGATACAGCATGACCCAGGCTAAAGCAGACGATACTAAGAGTACAGGGATACAGCATGACACAGGCTAAAGCAGACGATACTCAGAGTACAGGGATACGGCAAGACCAGGCTAAAGCAGACGATACTCAGAGTACAGGGACATGGCAAGACCAGGCTAAAGCAGACAATACTCAGAGTACAGGGATACAGCGCGACCCAGGCCAAAATAGACGATACTCAGAGTACAGGGATACAGCGAGACCAGGCTGAAGTTGACAGTGCTCCGAGTGACACACAGGTGAAAGCAGACGATACTCAGAGTACAGGGATACAGCAAGCTCCAAACTGAAGCTGATGATATTTCAAGTACACAAAAGATGCAGGCCGAATCAGTGGATGCTCAGAGTCAGATCCAGACCAGATCAAACGATGCTCTGAGCAACGCGATTCAGTGAGGTCCAGACTGGGACATAACAGTGTGAGATCCAGACTGAAGCCTGCGACAATCCAATCTGAAAACAGATGATGCTGGGAATGACGCGAATGATATCCCAACAGAAGTTTGGATTAGGTGTGGTAAACACATCCCGGATCTGCTGTTCAAGCTGAAAAGGACTGTCGGAGACTGTCACTATGGAGACTGCGCTGTTTGTGTTCCCTCCCAGCCTGGCTAAGGGGTTCAGTATTCTTTCTGACTCGCTGAAAGCAGGGTTTTTTAGGTGATGGAGTGAAGGAAGAAGGCAGGACAGGAACTGTTTCTGATACTCTGCATGCTGTTGTCTTTCTCATCCACAGTAAGAAACATAGCAGCTTTCCGTGCTCACAGAAATATCTGTCAGTTAGCAGGGGTGGCAGTGTAGCATAGTGGTAAGGTGCAGGGCTTCTAACCAAAAGTTTGCCAGTTTGATCCCAGTGGGATGCTGCTGTACCCTTGGGTGCAATACTTTTCCCACAGTTGCCTGAGTAAACATCGTCTTGGAATTTTCAGAATGGGCATAAAATACACAGAGTTCACTGTCTTTGTTAGTGACTCTACAGTGTCTTTGGCCAACACTTCTCCAAGCCAAAAGCCAGAGTTTTTGCGGTCCCTCTGGTCTCTGTTCTCATGAAGTAAGGGGGAATTATGGGAAACGAGGAATCGGTAATGATCCGTGTTCAAGATCAGTTTTGGAGGCATTGACAAAACAGCGACAGAGAGGCTCCTTTGTGGCGCCTTGCAATCTGTCAGTTTGGAAATCTCAGGCGGAGTGTGGAGCTAAAATCTGCTGTGCTTTTATTTTAAAAGATAAACATGCCTTCATTTCTTTCCTTCTCTCCCTCATTCTCTCTGGCTTTCACACTCTCTCCTCCTATTGCTGACAATCACACATACTCAAGCACACTCACACGCACACGCGCACACACACACGCACGCACACACACACACGCACACACACACACTCAGACGTGCGTACACACACACACATACACACACACAGGGACGTGCGTACACACACACGCACACACACGCACACACACACACGGATGTGCGTGTACACACACACACACACACACAGGGACATGTGCACACACACACACACACACGTACACACACACACAGACACATGCACGCACGCACACAGACACACACACACGCACACACACACACGCTCACAGTAGCTGTGAGTCAGAGTTCTTGCACGGCTTAGAAATGCCAAATGTCTGAAATGTTCATGCGTGTTTGAGCTGACATTAAGCCTGCAGAACGCCTTTAGCCTCGCAGGTGCCTGCTCGGCTGGGGCCGCAGGTAAATCTGCCTCTTTCACGCGCTTTGCTGAAGAGCTTCGTAATTCCAGCTGTAATCCACAAATTACACAGTCACCCTCTCACTTCCTCCCTCCCGGGTCCCTGTTCCGTTCGGGAGCTCAAATGAGCGGCAGTGTGGTGTAGAGGAAAGGTTCCTGGCTTGATTCCTTGCTGGGACACTGCTGCTGTACCCTTGGGCAAGGTACTTAACCCAGAATTGCCTCAGTAAATATCCAGCTGTATAAATGGATAACATGTAAAAACCTATGTAAATTGCTCTGGATAAGAGCATCTGCTAAATGACAAAAAGGAAATATACGTGCATTTATACATTATGTATGTACCTGTAGAATAACATAACTACGTGCAACATAAGATGAAACAGAGAAAGATAGGATTTTTCTCTGTACGTTTCCATCTCCTCCCTCTGTTTGTCATTCTTTGCCTCCCCTCCCTCTCTCTACCATTTGTCTCACCTTCTTTCTGACACCGTTTTTGATGCAGTTCCTCCCCCAGTTCATCTCTCACTGTGTGAACTGACTGGGGCATGTGAAAGTGCTTTGTGCATTTTTCATGTGAATAATTGTGGATGTAGTCGCACACACAGACACGCGCACACACACACACACACACACACACACACACACACACACACACACACATACAAACAGACATACACACATACATGCACACACACACACCCCCATACACACACGCATGCACGCATGCACGCACACACACACACACACACACACACACACACACACACACACACACACACACACACACACACACACACACACACACACACACACACAAACAGACATACACACATACATGCACACACACACACCCCCATACACACACGCATGCACGCATGCACGCACACACACACACACACACACACACACACACACACACACACACACACACACACACACACACACACACACACACACACACACATACAAACAGACATACACACATACATGCACACACACACCCCCACACACACACGCACGCACGCATGCACGCACGCACACACACACACACACACACACACACACACTCACACACACACACACACACACACACACTCACACACACACACACTCACATATGCAGATACACAAACACACACACTCACACACTCACACACACACATACAAAC